GCCTGCATGCCCTTTTTCTTAGGGCGCAATCAGGCCTTTTTAGTCTTCGTAATCCGTAGGCAGCCTCAACAAAAATCAAGTCGTAATCAGAATTTAACGTAATTCGTAATTGGCACCAAAAATTTTGCGTAATTTGTAATCACTATCCCCCTACTAGTATTTTCTCCACTGATAGCACTGTAGCATCAAACCATTCGATCTCTAGTTTATAGTTATACATATACATGTATTAAAGAGTATTATCATCAAACGTTTGTTCGTTCCTGACGTTTTCTCTGCGTCTCGAAGGAATGTGGAAGGATTTTTTTTTGTCTTAAAGTCTGACAGGAGGAGAAAATGACTACATTTGCAGCTTCACAGTTGGCTGTACTGTACAGTTTTTCTTACCAGGGAAACCAACAATTTTCCACGCAAGTGGGCACGCTGTATGGATGCCTTGTGGAGAGGATTCCAGACAAACCACTACAGGAAATGTCACATTTCCACGCCTAGGAGAGTCTATAGTTTGGGCTTGGGAGCAAACCAACAAAACAAAATGTAGACATTTTCAAGTCAATGACAGAGTCTATATACAACTTGTAACACACGTTCTATCTCTAGAATGGCAAAGCTTACAGAGAAATTTTTAGAGTAAAATCTTGGGCATTTACAACAGTTATGAACAACTTTGGTCATGATTTTTGTAATAGATGAGGGCCTGCATGGGGGGGGGGGGGTAGTAATTACAAATTATGCAAAATTTTCACCACCGATTATGAATTATGTTAAAGTCTCAGAGCTGATTACGACTTTACGCTCTGCACCTAATGTACTATTATGAATTACGTTGATTTTGGGCAGGCTGCCTACGGATTACGAAGACTAAAAAGGTCTGATTACGCCTTTCGAAAAAGGGCATCCAGGCCCTCATAGATTCCCCACAAGGCCATATCTACCTGTACCGTGTGATTAAGGCTGATGTCATCCCGTGACCGAGGATTACGCCTAGGTGACTCACTTTGACATCATATTACATGAACATATATGAATAAATACATATCCAAGTGCATGACTACTCCACGGTCAATCATTACCTAGCTAGGGGACCGTACGTTATTTATCGGGGGGGGAGAGGCCGGTGCGTAGGAAATCGGGCAGAAAAGGTTTTCCCTGGCCCTCCCCCCGTATTTATTTTTTTCCCTGGCCCTCCCCCCGCTATAAGAAAACTTTCCTTGGCCCTCCCCCCCTTTCTGAAACATTACAAATGCCCCTGAAACTACATCCTAATTAATACTATCAACAATCAATAATAATTTATTAATAGTTTGATATGATATTTAAGTGCGGCACGCGACGAAGTGAAATATTCCGTGGGAGGCTCCCGGCTCTTGAGCGTGCCCGCCGGGCCAAGGAAATGGGGCAGATTTGCGCGGACGGGGATTGGCTTTTAAAATACCTGGCGGTATACTACCAACCGACCCACAGGCTGGTTTCATCCACGGATCCAGAAATTTGTGAACGGGGGGGCGCACCACCTGACGTGGCCGAAGGCCACGTAAGCGCTGCGCGTCAGCGCTGCGCGGGGGGAGAGCACGAGAGGGGGGGAAGCCCCCCTCTCGTTGGGGGGGTTTGGGGGGCCGTCCCCCAGAAAATTTTTAAAATTGAGAGTCTCTCTGGTGTGTTTTAGAGTCATTTCTGAGCAAATAAGCAACGAAGTAATACTGATGTTTTCAGTACATTCATGTGCCTGTCGGTACATTTTACGACTGAGAAAATAGAATATTGAAAATGCATCTATGTTTTGGACGACTAAATTTCACGGAACGGGGCAAATAAAGAGTTCGCGATGCATCTAAGTTAGCGAAAAAAAAGAACCAAATACAAAAAGAAATGCCGCCTCTTTATAGACCGGATCAGTTAAATCATTTTCCGATCGCGGGGAACGCACAGAAGCCAGGCCGGAGTATTTTCGCTCGACAAAATCTGACGTCGTGCTGTCCACTCGTTCATGCAACTTGTCCAACGTGTCACTCGCATCAAGGTTCTGCAAAGACACACGTATCCTCTGGTGCACTTTGCTACGCTCACGAAGGTTGCTGCGTTTTTGGCTGAACGAAAATGTCGGGGATTTTGTACCGACATCTTTTTCCGACGACGCCATTTTGGCGAACAGAGTTATGGGAGATATGGAAGAAACCAATCATACTCGGGGGCGACCAATTTCGGGCGAAGGCGCACACGCATTTTCGGTTCCGTGACCGGCTGCCAAGGACATATAGCGTGTACTTTCCTACTTCTCAAAGCATTGAAAAGGTATAAGAATTGTGATAAAAAGTTTTCCTTGGCCCTCCCCCGCCTTCTCTTATTTTCCTTGGCCCTCCCCCGCCCTTCTCATTTTCCTTGGCCCTCCCCCGTACGCACCGGCCCTCCCCCCCGGTAAATACCGTAGGGTCCCTAGGTATGTTGCTATTGATAGACATGCAGCAAAACCTTTGCTTTAACCTTTAGCACACTGAAGTAGCCGTGTAGCTGAATTATACAACATTATAGCAATAGTACTAAAAGGCCGGAGACATACTGTTACATGTTAATGTATGATGTACATGTTCTGTTTATGCCACTAATTTCACAACCCAATGATTTCTGGCACCCTTGGGATACTCGCATTATGGAATTATCAAATAACAATAAAGCTAATGATATGATTTAATAGGACATGTACTTAATGTTTCAGAAAAAAATTACCTATTAGTATAACTATATATGAGCCATTTGGGATAACTAGACAAGGTTAGTGGCAACCTGTTATATTGCTAAAAATGAGGCATAACAATTAAATGTCATGTAAGAAATTTGAAACATTTTGTTGGTTTTTATTTCATTGATTTCTTCTAGACAGGACAAAAACAATGGGAGTAATATATTTCTTTATGGGTAGGAACATGGCTGGGGTCGTAAAACATTTAAGTGCACAACACTTTAGGTGGTACAATGAAAAGTTTATGGAGCATATCAACTTTTCTGTTTTCAATTTAGATCAACATGTGAATCAATTTGTAACTGTCTTCAACAAGTGAAAGTGGCCTGCAGGCATGTTCATGAACCGACACTCTGATTTATCAAACTGTTCAACCGTAGAAAATTCAATGTTTAAGGTATAATCTCAGCTACCTGGTGATAAAGCTTGGTAAAGGATCAACTACACTCCACAAATCCACTGCGGATTAACCCAATCCACCTCCCGGCCTAACCTAGCAGTCCCTCTACTTGGTTTGTCAAAACATGGGACAAATATAGGAATGTTAGTACAGGGTTGGCATCAACAAATTATAGGTTTTCAAGCCTTGCGTTGCTCTTTGGGTTTAGCCCTTTGTTAGCACA